GGGATTTCGTGTAACTTTTTAATCTTTTTAACCTTTTTGATTTTTCTCTCATGACCTTTTTTTAAATTTTCTTTTTTTTTTTTTTTTTTTTTAATTTTTAAGATTTTAGGGTTATTAAAGGTTCTTGAAAATCAACTGTAACACCTCGAAATGTCCCTATAACACCTTCACAATATCCCTATTATGTATATTTATTTTTTATATTAGAAAATTCAAAAGATAATAAATAATTTTGATAATTGAGAATTTGATATTTAGAAATATTAATGTAATAATTATTAAACATACAAGATAAATATCATCTTTAATATGTTTCAAAATTATAATTGTTTCACCTGTTAAATTATTAATTGAAAAAAAAAATATATAAATACATAATATGAAAGTGGAGTAGATAGATGAATGAATTGATCAGGTGGTAGTTTATAATTATACTTTACCGGTAAAAAACATTAAATCATTTTCATCACTTGCTGTAATATCTTGATTAGCAATTCCTTTTCCAATACCTCCTTTAAAATCAATATAAATAAAATATATTTATTAGATTTTCTCAATTTGTAAAAGTTTAATGAATCCTTCTTAAAAAATATAATAAAAAGATCTTCGTCACACTAAATACATGCTAATCCATATATACATTAGACATCTTTAAATGGAAAATCCTTTTTTATTAGTTATTCCATACTAATTTTAAAGAGTGTATGTATATACTAATATTTTTATCAAATATTAAATAGATGAAGTTTTCTATAATCACTAATATTATTCATATATATACCTTTCTGTGCAAAAATAAGTAATTTCTCTAGTTTAGTAGGATCTTTAGTAATTAAAGAATGTCCTGACATTCCAACGTATTTTCTAATTTTCTATTGAAGTCTCTAGAATGTCTTATTACTGTATGTCTTTATTGTCTAAAATTTTTTACGAAATCTTCCAATTTTCAAAGATTTAAAATCAAAATTCTGGAATTTTGAAACCGATTGTAAAATTTGAAAATAAGAATAATGTTTTTAAATAATTTTTTTTTAACACTCTACATATATATATATATGTGTGTAGTTTTTCTTGGGGTTTTTTTTTGGAAATAATAAATTATATAATAAGCTAGACTTTTTTGTTATAAAAAATATTTTTTGGAAAATAAATTGATTCAATTATAAGTAAATAATAATAGTAAAAAAAGCATTATAATTACTATACATTAAAATATATTTGTGTGAATCATTTGTTGATTTAATAGGTTCATCAACCCTAAAAAAATAATGATCAAATGTTTTAACAAATAAAACGATGACTTGTTTTTAATTAGTAAATAAAATTCAAAAATAAAATTTTTATAAATCAAATGAAAATTTGCATTATAAAACAAAATGTTGATGATAAATAACGAAAAGGTTTAGCTGTTAGTATATGAATTAAAATTGTATATTCTTATTATAATAAATAAATAATATTAATTTTTAGCGATAACGGATCCCAAAGAATTGAATTATTATAGAAATGAGTGTATAGTGCGAAAATTGCTGAAGCTGGTTCCATTTCTTCCTGGTGAATGCTAAGTTCAAAATCTATGGCTAAATCAAAGTTTATACAGTACAAAAAGAAGCCGAAGTTGGGTTATGCAAGAAGGGAAAAGTTACCAAAAGTATATGAAAGCAGCAGTTCGTGGTGTTGGTAACGAAGTTATCTAATATCTAATGATAGAATATGGTGTATATAAATATTTGATCAGAGAAAATGTTCAAAGCAATTAAAGAATTTTATTCTAAAGATTACTGTTTATATTTTAAATTATTACCACAACAACAATTCAGGATCCTATATACATCAAGAATTTTTGAGGGGCATTGAACAACGCTCTGTTTTTTAACACCAAAAAATGATAATCAACAGACCCTATGCAAACAAACGGCATTGAAAATCCATGTTATATAATGGGTATTAGGAATTGCATAATGCTATATGTCAATCATTAATAACTTTATTAACATGAAAAATAATTTAATTTTGCATTTTATCAAACTATTTCTTTAAAACATAATATTATTAAATAACATATATTATTAAATAATGTATTACGTTATTTTTTTAAAAAATGACCACTATGCTTCCTGCTGTTTCTAGCGAATGAGGGAAAACACGTTTGAATTTGTGTAACTGGCGATTGCCGAAAGATACGTTCTTCAGTCAAATTAAAATTTACCAGAACCAGAAATTACTATTGCTGTTTGCTTGTCTATAATATCCTCATCGTCTATAACAACAATTGCATAACTTTTTCCCTTGAAGTCCTATCATTCTTTGTTGGAATAGAGATAACTTATAAGACATACAAAAAGCATACCATGGCACCAGCTCTTGTTAAGCGAGTTGGCCGAAATAAGGAATTCAAGTTTATTTAGTTTATTAGAGAAATCTTTGTGTGATTCATATTGATATTAGAAAAGTTGAAAAGGAAATTAAAATTTGAGATTGACATGTGATACCACACATAAAGTTGAATTTATTATTACTTCCTTTATTATCATTAATTTATTTAAATAAAATCTTAATGGACAGTCCATTATTTACTTTAACTATTATTAGAATCTTTTGGATTAATCACTCTCACACAGAATGCGATAGTTAATAAGTGGTTATTAACTATTAACAACTTGGAGTTATTAAGTTTAGGGTTAAAAAATTCCATAACTTATATGATGGTAATCCATTAGGGTGTGCAACAGCAATAGTGCACTTGATGTGGAAAATTTAGTGGAAAAGTTTTCACTTTGTCTGGTTTTGTTCCAATATGCCACATATAGCATAGTGGAAGTTTGTTGTTACACGAAATGTTGTACAGAACTCATTGCTTCTGAAACTTCGCCAGTGTATAGTTGTTACCTCTCTAAATTGGAGATCAAGTTCGGATCAAATTCAAATCCAGTTTATCACTTACTTTTTATTGCCAGAAGGTTTGCCGTGTATTGTAAAGCTACGTTTCACAATATAAAAAATTAGTGTAACATTTCAAATTTCCACTATGCTGCCACATATATAATAATAATAATATCATAAAAAAATTATTTTATTTGATTTGTTATATCACCTATTGAATGAATTCCCATTTTTGAAAAGAATAATATTTTTTAAACTCTTAGCTAATTAATGTAGAGGCATTTGACATTGCATTCATACAATGATTTCTATCATCATAAAAATGAAAATCGATTTTTAAAATATAGTTATCCTTTAGTAAAATTAGTTAGTGAATTTAATTGAATTTATTATCGTGTTATGAATATTATGTAATTACTTTGTGCTTTAGAATGTTATTAGCGCGCATTTATTTGTATTATTAAAAGTGTAAAATCGACATTGTTTATCAACATAATGTGATTGGACGATACAAATACCAAAAGAATCCTAATCTTCGTTTTCACTTTCCAATGAAACTGTAAATTGATTTTTCAGTTAGTTCTTTTTTTTTTTTGCGATTTTATTGATGAATGAATGAACAGTTTCACAAAATACAATGCACACGTTTGACAATTATTAATATTAAATGTTGTGAATTTGAAATTCACGCGCGTGAAATTCGAATTAGCCAACCAGAATTTTGTATCCAAACGCCCCAAAATTTAATTAACTCAAATTTGATTTTCACGCACAACAAATATAATTGGTTATTCAATTGAATTTTAAATGAAACGGAAAATTAATTGCATTATTATTATTATATATTAATATTTTCACTTTCTTTTATTTTGATTTTGTATATGGAGAAATAAAACGATTGTCACCACCACTACAAATATTTTTATAATTATGAAAAACATTGCAATAAAGCTAGAATCGCATTTGAAAATATAATTTATAAACACTCCAATTATAATATATGCTATCTTTGAAAATTTGACGAATAAACTTGGGATTCTTTCAGAGTAACAATATAACTAATAAAATCAAAAATAATAATACTATGATTGCGTGACTTTTTATTTATAGGTCTCCGTTAAGAAGTGAAATTATATACTCAAGCATTAGTTAAACCATTTCAACATCTAGTAATCTTTATCACTGATATTATGGCTGAATTTAATGCAAAAGAAAAGTACCTTGATTAAATGGGATTTCAAGAAATGGTTTTTACAAGAACTTTTCAAATCTGGTGATAATTATGGAGACAGCATTTGATAATAAATATCAAGCCCGCGCATTCCATCCGGTCCCGCAATTTTATCCGAACCGCCCGGATTGCGGTATGGGTTCGGGACAGCTGTAATTATAATATTAATATATATCAGTCATCCGTAATTTCACGGGATCGACATGTCTACTGCTGTAGCTATGTAATTTTTTTGTGAAACATTTCAATTTTACTATTAAAATCGAAGGAAATTTTCATTTGCTACTAGTAAAACCACATGACATTTCTAAACAAGGAGTGTGATTCTTTGTACACACGTTGTTTGAGATTTAATTTATTACCTCGCAAAAGTTCGGCTATAGTTTATTAAGAAAACGGAAAAGAATGGTCTGTTCAAAGTTATACCTTCAGTTCTTAATCATGTTACAACAAATTATTTTGAACTTGTAATTTCAATAAAACATAAACAAGAAGCCACCATTCGGTTTTTAGAAAACATTGGGTTGGTGAGGCATGGACAATGGAAACAAGGTCAACTTCTATGATCCACATCTCAAATGTATAATTCCTTAGT